TGTTTTGGTTTGAGTACAGTATATGAAAAAAATCTGGCTCTATAAAGATGTGTAGTTGGAAAGAAAGGGCCACACAGATTTCTTAAAAAGGCCTCAGGGATCCCTAGGGGTTCTTGGACCACACTATGAGAACTGCTGCTTTTGGTAATGCAAAAACCATTATAAGATTATCAGCAGATGACAGGCAGCTAATTCTGAAGTAATGTGAGGATGAACTAGAAGGAGGAGCCCTGAGAATAGGACAGCAAGCAGGGAGACTATTAAAACGGTCCAGGAAGACCAAGAACATGGGAAGCCCTTCTCTAAAGAGGAGACACTGGGGATGCAGACGTGTATGGGTTCTCACGTTAGAGTCAACGGGAGCTGGTGTCCAAATGCATCCAGGCCAGGGCAGACAGCAAGCCAAGGATGGCTTCAGGTATTCTGGGTTGGAAAATCTGGGTGGATGGTGATGATACAAAGGTACAGATATAGGGCACAGGAAGGCCACTTCTGGTGTTAGCTGCCCAAAGATGAAAGGAATAAGCCAGAAAGAGAAAGGATTGATGTGAAGATTCCAGACCCATGGCACAGAAAGATCCAGACAAACAGGCTCTTGGAAGCTCACTTTTTTATACTACTGTATTCAATGCTGTTTTAAAATGATAACAAAATAGTGTTTGTATTAAGACAGTAAAACTAATCTCTTTAAAAATGCAAATACCCCCAAGAATTAAGGAGGGAGAAGCTCCTTAATTCACAGACCACAGTAGGACAACTGGTCTGGGGAGGTACCACGGTGGGGGACTTGGGTCTAACATGGGATAAGGATAATCATAGAGGAAAAAGGGAAAATATTAATCCCTGTGGAACATATTACTACATGGATATTTCTAGTTTGAGAAGTAGCTGGAGAGGAGCATAAAGTTACTGGGTAGCTGGTGGGCAAGAAGGGCTAGTTAGAGTTGAAAAGGCACCAAAGACAATTTTCTCACTTCAAAGTATTTTGAAGGGCTCTGCTTAGTTTCAGAGATCACATGAGAGGCGGATCACCACGTCAAAAAACAGGTTCCAAGAGAAAATGAACTCTACCCCTAACCAGCTTCTTATTACTCCTGGAAAAGTCTAGAGAAGAAGGTGACAGGAACTTGGAGTGTGTGTATGTGTGCACGCGTGCATACTTCAAAGCTGAGACTGAGACCCGATCTCCATGCCCTGGTAAAGATGGCAGAAAAGGGGATAGAGTTCCCCTTCTATATTCTACAGGCCAGGGGCCCAAATCCACACCCAGAACTCTCTTCCTCCTCCTCCTCCTAAGTTATGGACCTGTGGGCAGTTCTCTGGGTTGAGCAAAGGGTTACTTTGCATGGTCAGCATAGACCAGAATATGCAGAGGACACATGAGTGAGCAAGAAGGATATACTAGAAATAATACAGAGCATGATTTAAGAAATTCACATGCCTGGGGGTATAGCAACATGTAAGTTGCTAAACATAATCACTTCTTAAATCAAGCAACTCTGATTTGAATAGATATTGGTATATAAAAACTTCATATTCTAATAAGATCTTAATAACATTTTAGTCTTAACAATGAAGTACAATGATTTCCCAGTATATATAGCACCTGGGTAAAGGCCACACCTGCTGACTCAGACCCATGCCTCCCTGGCAGGGCCATGTTCTTAAGGGTTTGTGATGATGCTCCTTACTTTCCATTATTAAATGTTTTCCTAAAAAATTGTGGTGTGGCTTGAGAAAGGTAGACTTGATCATGTCAATTCTCTCCTCTGTAGAATGGGGTCAATAATAATTAATGTCTTACTTGCCATAATAAAGTTGTGAGGATTAAATTACGGGAAAATACTTTGCAAATCAGAAGGTCCTACGCAAATGTTAGTTACAGTAGAGCTCCAGGTTAGGCTGTACTCATCTGTTCCAGACAGGAGGGCCAGCAAGGGAACTGGCATCCATCAAGGTTTCCCATTTGCCATGCTACCTCCCTTCCTCAGTACCAGTTTAGTGGTGGGGTGGTCACATCCCATTTTACATGTAGGGCTCGTTGAGTTTTAGTAATTTGCCCAAGGTAAGCCACTTATAAAGTGGTAAAACTAGGATTTGAACTGGTCTACTGTCTCAAAAAACCAGGTGTTTTTAATTGTGAGGTGGAAGGGGTGATGGCGGAGGCGACAGCTATATGCAGGCTGGAGCAGCCAGGCGGCCAAGGTGGACATGAGGAAGTTGCAGCCACAGCCTGTGCCGGTGCCCATGCCAGAAGAGTGAGGCTGGTTTTTTTTTTTTTTTTTTTTTTTTAGTCTCACCTAACATCACTAGCAGGATGCAAACTTTGCTGATCATGGGTTAGAACCATCCCTGTCTGTCCCTAAGAACAGCAGAGGGCCCACATTGCTGGTTTTTCCTGTGTGTTGAGGGAACCATGGGGGGATGAAGAAAGGGTATGTACACAGGAGTCAGAGAGACCTGGGTGCAAGTTCCAGCTCCCTCACTCACTGCCTGAGCACCCTGGGCCAGCCCTTACTTATTCATCTGTAACACTTTTCCATCTTGAAGTCTCTTGAAGCCTCTAGAATGAATGAGATGATGCGGGTGAGCTTTAAGCAAATGCCTGTGAACACAGTAGGCACTCAAGAGGGAGTTGCTTTTATGATGATGATGACGACTTATGAACAGGCTAATGTCCACTAGTAATTAAGTTTTTTTTTTTTTAACAAATACTCTCTTGTAGACTTAAGATAACTACAAAATGTTACTACTCTTCCTTTTGAGAGGTGCAGCCTAATTCCTCTTCCCTTGAAGCAGGGTTGGTCCTAGTGACTTCCCTGGCCAGTGCAATGTGGCTTAAGCATTGTTCTGGAATTTCAAAGTTTAATTCATAACAAGCTTTATAAGTTTTGCCCTGGTGTCATAGTGGTGAGCTGCCACATAAGAAGTCTGACTACCTTGAGGCCACCGTGCTCTGAGGAAGCCTAAACTTGCCATGTGAGAAGGATTCAGGGAGAGAGAGATGCTTGGCCAGATGCTTGCCCATTGGAGTCATTCCAGCCCAGATCCCAAACAATATGCAGCAGGGAACGTAGTCTCTGCCAAGCCCTGCTCAAAGTGCAGATTCATGAGCAAAATAAATGACTGTTTTTGCTTTAAGCCACAAAATCTGGAGTAGTTTTTATGTAACAATGTATAACCAGAATACTCAATCATGTTTTTTTCCCTAAATTATCAGTTTACTGAGTTACATAAAATAACATTTTAAGTTTGTGTTGACTCTTCAGTTCTCATATCTATTTTACATATGGCAAAACCATCTTGTTTGTGGACAATGTTCATATAGGCATAATTTAATAACTGGCTGACCAGCGACATACATTAACTATTTTGTGTGCATGCATACATTATGTGTGTATGCCAATAATCTGGGTAGTTTGGTGAGGGCCACTACCTATCTTCTAACCAGCAGGAAACTACCTCTTCTGGCTATCTGCATTTCCCAGCAAGATTTGCAAACAAGAAGATGCTGAGAAACAGTTGATTTCTATAGTTATCCAGATGATGTTTGAAACCCCTTCAGCATTCATAGTTGCTCAACTTAGGAACACAGACCTTGTCATAGCATACTTGTCTCTGAAACATAGGAAAATTTACCCGATTCTTTATAACAACATATTATATATTAATAACCTTAAAATATGCAAACTTTGGAGCAATCAGCATAGGTAAATTCAACAAATATTTTGTTGCCTCCCAAATCTACTATGCTCTTTCCTGTTTCTCCTGCTGCAAAGGCTGTCTCCCCTTCTCTGAGGGCTCTGTGTGCATGTGTGTGTATAAAATCCTATTTATCCTTTAAATGTCTCCTCTCCCATCAAGGCAGAGTTAATCATTCCTTGATGACATTGCTTCTTCAATCTGTAAAGCCTTTTCTCTAACAAAAAAACTTATCACTAAAAAAAAAAGCAACAAACCCACAGTCCCATAGAACACATGGAGAAAGAACACGAGAGTCCCCATAACTCTTGGCGACTTTCCACCGGGCTGAAACAGGCTGACATGATATGTGTTTCAGGGATTAGAATTCAGCAGAAGAAATGAGTCAATTAAAACACCCAGCCAGAATGCTGTCTTTAGATAAAGTGCTTTGCACTGGGGGTACAACATAAACTGAATTACTAAATTCTAAGGGCTGACTGGTGATTTGCATCTCAGTCTCTATTTTATTCATTTCATTTTCTCAGCAAAAGCTAACAAGGAGTCACTCAGTCTGGGAAAGATAGGTACTTCATTTATCTCAGCAAGAACTAGAGAATGAACTCCCAGTTTTCTAACTCAATGGTTTTGATTTGACCCGGAGTGGGCAATGCCTATTGTCCCAGGTGGGCCAATGAGAACATCCAACCCACCAACTGGTATTGGTTTTTACATTCCTTCAGTAGCAGTGCTAATCCCAAAGGATGTACAGTCGCTAAATGGCAACTGGTGCTTTGCGGCATAATCTCCAAAATGCAAGAGCAACATGCAGAAAGTTATAATTGAACACTCTATTTAACTACAAAAACCAAGAAGTCACATTTTCACCACTCATTATTTGAGAGCCATGCATAACATTTCAAGCCAAAGGCTGCACAGTCACTGAATGGAAACAGGTTCTGTGATAAAATCCAGAAAACACAACCTACCACTTCATCCCCACGACAAACCTATAGAAGGTTATACTAGAAGATCACACGACCAAGGGCAATCATGTTTTTAACACTCATTTTCAAATTAACTACACTTAACATGTCAATTTGGAATTATTATAATGGAGTCTGTGTTACAACTGATGTCCAAGGCAATAGAATGACTTAATGCTTGATACTTTACTTAGATGAAGCAGAAGGAAAACTCACTGATTTCCCACACTGACCCAACCCTGGTCTTCCTCCTCAAAGTGTGCAAGTTTCTGACACTCAGCAAACAATAACTTTAGTATATTTTAGGAAAAAATATATGCAGTTTCAACTTACTTAACAGTTGGCAATAGAGGGCCTGTAAACTTCTCTTCATGGTATCATCTGGTCCTGCTTATCCTCCAGTTTATTCATGATTCTGTCTAGGAAATTGAGAGAAGAAAATTGTTACATCTGAGGAACATAATTTAATAACTAGAAAGAACCCCACTCAAAATGATCGTGGCAGTAAAACCTAAAATACCTGAACTTTTAAGAGAAAAAATCTTGGAATGGATATACAACAGTTTAATTTACAATGGTCTGTTATAAAATCACCAGTGAATCAACTGGTCAAATCCTGAAACTATACACCCTGATGAAGGAAACTCATATGGGAAGCTGGCAAGTGAGAAACGGGATTCAGAACTTTTGAGACCTTCTCATGAATCTCTCCTGAATCTCTAGCCTTAGAAAAAGAATTAAAAAATTTCTTTTCCAATCTTATTTCTGCTAAAGTGCTCACAAACAAAACAAAAAACCAAACCAGAAAGCTTGAAATTATACTATTTTAAATAACTTTTCTATTATTTTCTAATTACAAGGATACTTCCAGTATGGAATATTTGAAAATATACAGAAAATATAGCTAAGAATAAACTAGAAAATACATATTACCATTATTCTACCAATAAGAGGTGATTATTGCTCACATTTTGGAGTACCTCTCTAGCCTTTTGAATGTGCACTTATATTGTTATGTTTCATTTTATGGATTATACATTTTAATTTTTCTCCCTAGCAGCAGAAACATCTTTCTGTGTTGTTACTATTACTTTACTGCTTTATTTTAAATAATAGTATTTATTTATTAATATAATTTATTTATAGTTTATCACATAATATAATTTGTATAAACATAAATTTTTATAGAAATATAAAAATATGTAATTTATAATAATTTATTAAAAATAGTACTTATTTAAATAGTATTTAAGATAAATTCCTGGAAATGGAAACACAAGGACACAGTTTAAGGCTTATTAAATATATTGCCAAACTGCTCTCATCGATACTATATATTAGAATAACCATTAGACTGCAAACTACCCAATGAGGGAAATTTATAATTTCTTCTCCTCTTTGCCAAGCAAATAGGCAAACATTCTATCCCACTGATTTAATTTGAATTTTTCATATTTATTAGTCATTTGTCTTTTAAAAAATTTTAATTCGCATTCTTTAACCACTGTCTACTGGCATGCCAGTTTTTCTCATGACACCCCAAGTGGAACTGCTTTATCTTAAAAATTTTTTTATTGAGATATAATTCATATATAAAAATTCAGTCTTTCCTGTGTACAATTCAGCAGTTGGTAATATATTCAAAAGTTGTCCAACCTAGTTGTCCATCACTACTACCTAATTCCAGAACATGTTCACCACTCTAAAAAGAAACCCTCGTGTTCATTATCAGTCACTCCCCATTTCCCCCTCCCCCTAGACCTTGGCAACCACTAATGTATTGTCTGTCTCTATGGATTTGCCTCTTCTGAATAGATTATATAAACAGAATCACATGATACAGTCTTTTGTGTGTGGCTCTTTCACTCAGCATAATGTTTTTAAGGCTAATCTATGTTGTATAACATGCTGGGGTTTTTATTTTTCCTGTTTTTTAAAGAGACTCTCTCTCTCTCTCTCTACTCCCCCCATCATGGTTAGAAAGGCCTTCCTTAGTCCAAGATTATATAAGTTCTTTCCTATATTTTCTTCTGGTATTTTTTATTTCATTTATTACATTCTAAATATTTTTATATTCTTATATCTCTTTCTGGACTTCGTGTTATGTTTTATTTTTCCATTTGCTCATTCTTCCACTAGAATAAGTGTTTAAATTAAATCTGTGGTAGAGTTAGTCCTTTATTATTACTCTTCTCTTTAGGATTTGTCTTGTTGTTCTTTGACTTTAATTTTTTTCCTCCCAAATTAACTTTAAGATCATTTTATTAAATTCCAGAAAAAATATCATTAGGATTATAGTCAGAATTATCTTCTATTTGCTTTATTTATTTGGGAGAAATTTGATGTCATCAAAATCCAAATATGGCAAGGAAGAAAATAAATATTTTAAAACTTGTTGCTCTGGAAATCAGAAGAATATTTTCCAGGATCTGGGAAGTGCTCTTTTTTGGAGAAGGAAGTGAAATAGCTAAACGACTTTGGTTAGACAAATTACCGCCCCCCTCACCCAGTGTGATTTGTATGAGTAAGAGAGAGAGAAAGAGATAGCTAAATTGCTTTTCATTATAAAATAACAGGAGGTTTGAGTTTCCAAAGTCTAGGGCTAGGAAAAAGGAGTTAAAGTTTCTAGAAATTGGAAAGGCTGAGGAAATGATAAGAGATATTGAGGGACAGGGAAAGAAAGAGACAATTCCAAAAGATGGCAGCAGGTGGGACCTAAGAATAAAGGATAAAGTGAGGAATTCCCCACACAGGATGCCCCATTAAGTTTAAGATGTCTAATATTTAATTTTCCATTTCCTCTTGTTTTATGCTGTTTGTATTCATATGCTATACCTGTATTCCTTCTCCCCCACAATGCTTATCCACTATTAGTGTTGTCAAAACCTCAGTAAAATCTGGCACAATATAGACTTGTATTGGTGGTGCTTGATGGGGCAAAGAGAGAAAACACTATGCTCCAACCCAAGGGTGACCCAGGAGACAGTCAGAGGCAGCAGCCCCAGGAGCCATAAGCAATGGTTAGCAAGTATCTATGGAGTGTTTAGGGCATGGTAAACAATCAATAAATGTTTATTAAATAAACAATGAATGAATGAATGATCAAGTAACAGGAAAACAGAGAAACAGTTGTAGTTTATAACAATCAAGGAGAACATAATCCCCCCAATCATCTCTGGAAATGCTTAAGAATTTTTGAAAAACTTCCCATAATACATGGAATAGATCCATTTTATTCAGCTATCAAGAATCAACTGATTCTATAAATCTGGGAGAGTTGGGATCATCTGGGTTACACAGGGATATCCCAGCTACAAGTATCATATGGATGACTATTCAAAATTAATCTTTATTTAGGTCTTTTTGTGGATTTTGTAGTGTTTTTCCTTAAGTTCTACAGTCTCATCAAATTAATTCCTAGGCATTTTATATTTATTTTTTGCCACTGTGATAGAATTTCTGTTTCCATTATATTTTCTAATTGCCGCTACATGAAAATGACTGAGTTTTGTATATTAATTTTGTGACCTAACTGAACTCACTTACTGTTCTAATAATGATGGTTTCTCAGCTGAGTCTCTTGGGTCAATTGTGCTGCTTTGGATAGATGGCAAGCCACAATTAGATTCCATAAAAAGCCTCTTTTAAACCATACAGTAGAAAACATTAATCGCATCAGTCTCGTCCTTAGGGAATTTAGGAGCTCGAAGGATGACAACTAATTTCTGGGATGAAATCCTAAAAAAGTACAGAGTTTTACAGCCAAAAGGACTGAGTAAAAGAAAAATGACCCACCAGGATTAAAGCCCACCCCTGCAGAATCAACCAACAGGTCCACCACAGTAGTTCCAGGCTCTAGGCCTGACCCCATATACCCAGATACCAGAGCCACCAGCTGCTGACCCAGGCACCAGAACAGGCTGCCTGAAGACTCCAGCAGCAAACCTACCCAGGGACCATGCCAGATGGCCTCCCCAGAATCTGTGGACAGACTCACTAGTGAAGGGCTTTCCCAAACAAAGCCAGTCTTCAAAGACCAGAATAAGTCCATACTTCTTCAAATGAATAGGCATAAATGTATGACCACAAGGATCAAGAACAATTGGAGAAACATGACACCACCAAAGGAATGAAATAAAGCAGCACTGATCAACTTTAAAGAAATGGAGATTTATGAACTGCCTAACAAAGAATTCAAAATAGTTATGTTAAGGAAGCTCAGTGAACTTCAATAAAATGCAGGGAAATAATTCAATAAAATCAGAAAAACAATAAATGACCAAAATAGAAATTTAGCAGAGATTGAAATTGTTTAAAAACAACCGAACAAAACCCAATTCTGGAGTTGAAAAATACAATGAATGAAATGAAATATGCAATAGAGAGTGTCAATAGCAGAACTGATCAAGCAGAAGAAAGAGTTTGTGAACTAGAAGTTATTTGAAAATTACAGACAGGGAGAAAAAAGAAAAAAAAATGAAGATAGCTTATGAGATTTATGGGGCAGCATAAAAAGAACAAATACTTTAATTACAGGGGTTTAAGAAAGGGAAAAGAGAGACAAAGGAACAGAAAGCTTAAGGAAATAGCAGCAGAAAACTTTTCAAATCTGGGAAAGATATAAATATCCAGGAACAGGAAAGCCAAAGGCCTCCAATGAGATCCAAACCAAACGAGACTACACCAAGACATATTATGATCAAACTGTAAAAATTCAAAGACTAAGAGAGGATCTCAAAGAGCAGCAAGCAAATAAAAAGAATAACAGAAAAGAGAGTTTCAGTAAGGCCAGCAGATTTCTCAGTGGAAACCTTACAGGCTGGGAGAGAGTGGGATGACATATTCAAGAGGCTAAAGGAAAAAAACCCTGCCAATCAAGAATACCACACTCAGCAAATCTGTCCTTTCAAAATAAAGGAGAAATAAAGACCTTCCCACACAAACAAAAGCTGAGGGAGTTCATCACCACCAGAGCTGTCATACAAGAAATACTAAAGGGAGTTCTTTAAGCTTAAAGAAAAAACACTAATTAGTAACATGAAAACATATGAAAGTATAAAACTTATTGGTAAAAGTAAACATACAGTTAAATTCAGAATACTCTAATACTGTAGTGGTGGTGTGTAAATTACCTATATATTCAGCATAAAGGTTAAAAGTCAAAATTATTAAAAATAATAATTGCTACAATAATTTGTTAAGGGACACACAATGTAAAAAATGTAAATTATGATATCAAAAACATAAAATGTAGGGAAGTGGAATAAAAGTGTAGAGTTTTTTGCAATCAAAGTTAAATTGTTATTAGTTTTAAAAAGCCTGTTATAATTGTAAGATGTTTTATATAAGCCTCGTGGTAACCACAAAATAAAAACCTATTGTAGATAGATGAAAGATAAAAAAAGTTTCCCTTGATGTG